TGTGTGGGGGGGGGGGGGGGGTGGGTGGAACAAAGCCTAGGGTCTGGCAGGCCCAACAAGCCAAGAACTTTGGCCACCTGCCCCCAACACCAATTAAAGAGACATGTGACAGTGCAATGTGGAGAAAAGAAACTTACTGAATGAGGCTTCACTGGGAAGATGAATAAAGAGGTCCTGTGACTCCCAAGTCCATACAGTTTAGGGTGTATGTGTGACAGGCCAGAGGTTAACTTTGGGTGACTTCTTAGATCACTCTCAATCATCAGTTATTTGAGACAGAGTCCCTCACTGAGTCTGGAGTTCACAGGTTGGGTTGCATTGGCTGGTGGCCAGAAAGTTCCTGGGATCCTCGTATCTCAGCTTCCCCAACATTGGGACTTTTTCTGTTCATTCAGGGGGGGATAAACCTAAGGTCCTCACTGTGGTTGGCCATCTCCTCAGCTTAAGGTCTAGTAGAAGGCAGGAGGTTTATAGGCCAAATCAAGGGGAGGTCACCACCCACTGTTGCCTCATTGTTGTCACCTCAGGTCCACTTGGTCTGTAAGGGCCTCAGAACTGTGAAATCTCTTCCTGTGAGGCAAGTCCCTGCACTGGCTGGCACCAGAACTTCCCAGTACAAGTTTCTGGGGAAATTAGTTTTGAGGCCTATTGTTTAGACAGTCTGATATCCAAAGGGAAAGGCCCAGGGTGTTCCCTGGTGGCAGTCACACCAACTTACCTAAGTTCTTTTCAGGGGACATTGTAGGCAACACATTTCCTACTTGAGGTTTAGTGTGACTTACAAAGTTTTCTCTGTGGTCTGGATATAAAGCCTTGGAAATTCTTATTCGAAAATCTGTATGCTGGTGCAGACCAGGGGTGTGCTATTTTCCAGCTATAGGATGAGGTCTTGGAGCAGAGAGTGGAAAGAACAGAGAAGTGTGAAAACTCCTATAGGCCCCTGCACTGACTGGCACCCACCATGGGTCCTCCTGGACAGTGGCCCCCAAATTTCCTTAGTCAATGGAATCACCTGGGAACTTCTCCTACAGTCCCATGCTCAGCTCATACTCCTAATTAGCCTCCCAAGAGCAGAGGTGGGATGCAGCAGTCAGCAATAGTGTGAGAGATCTGTAGGTAGTCCCAGCTACAACACGGATAATGAAAATGCCGTTCTGGGGGAAAAGAAAATCTTCATAGAACAGATGATTACACTGATTTGTAAAGCAACACTCTCTTATAGTGGCCTTTTAAGTTTAAATTTTCAAAAGGTGTGTGTGTGTGTGTGTGTGAGTGTATTCATGTGTGTTTGTTGTGTTATATTCGTGTGTGTGTGTGTGTGTGTGTGTGTGTGTGTGTGTGTGTGTGTGTGTGTGCGTGTGTGGTGTATTCATGTGTGTGTATATGTGAGTGTGTGGCGACCATGTGGGATCTACCCGTCTCTGTACCCCACTCCCAGTATTGTGCACTGCCATGCCTGGTTTTTATATGGCTATTAAGGGTCTGAACTCAGGGCCCTCATGCTGCACATTGAGCCATATCCCTGATCATACACACACACACACACACACACACACACACACACACACACACTAGGTATTTGAGTCCAAATCCAATGCTTCCCTTTTGAGGGAAGCACAAATGCTTCCAACTCATTGCTTGTAGATCCTGGGTAGGGATGTGTTTACATTCTAGGCCAGTGAGAACTGAGGGTAGTTGGATATTCAATTGCCCTCCAAGAACTATGGGCACTGGTATCCAATAGGACTTGATTACAGAAACAGCCTTCAGCCTACAAGGCTGGCTTTCTGTGGCAGCCACTCCGGCGCTTTTATCTGCTGCTTCTCCACAGCTCTGCCTTTCTCTGATGGAACTTTGAACACTTCTTATGGGCAACTGTGTTGTAGCCAATTGCCTCTATTTTTGTCTGAGAAGGCTTAGTTTCCTTCATCTTCATAAGATTATTCTGTATATAAAACATAATTTTCAGCACATCTCTGCACAGTGAAAATACAGCCATGAAAAAACTCCTACTTTTTAAAATATGCACTTTTGCATGGGAGACAAACAATACAATGAATTGGATATTTGGGAGGTGGCGGTGATGTGCTTACAAAGAAACTGAACTAGGAAAGGGAAGGCAGGTGTAGGCAGCAGGTTACTGTTTTAAATGGAACCCTCAGGGCCTCTCCAAGGTGGAAGAAAAAGGAGACAAAAAAGGGGACTAGCTCCTGCCTTTAGGGTGCCTGAGTGTGACTGGTGTCCATGGAGTCAGGAGACTGGCATGACGGAAACACTATGGGTTACAGTAAGAAGGGCTGGACCCCAGGCCTTAAGGCGGCTCTGACCTCTCATAAACCCACTTTGTTGCATGTGAGCAAGGCTGCTGTTGGATTTTGAGCTTCAGAGTGACTTGATGTGACTCTTGGAAGGATGGGTCATTCTGGTCACTAAAGGTCATCAATGTAAAAACTGCTTTCACCTCAAAGGAGATGGGTTATTCTAGAGTCAACTGAAAGAGCATGGCCTGAGAAGATGGAGCTGGGTTACTTCAGCTTCCAACACAGAAACAGTTGGATTAAGTTTTATTGTGGCAGAATAAAGAGAACCAAGTCAAGCAACTTTTTAAAATCTTGGAAGGAATATCAAAGAAGCAAGTTACAGCCTTGCAGATAGGCCTCAGATGTTGTGTGATAGCATTCTTACCCCCTTTGACTGGTAGCAGAAGGGTTTTGTTAAGTTACCACATCCCAAAGATGTTTATGTATTCATTGGATCTGACATTGAGGTGAGCAAATGTGATAATTTGAAGGAAAATGCCCCCCAAAAGGAGTGGCACTATTAGGAGATGTGGCTTGTTTGAGGTCTCTTTGCAAGCTTCAGTCAGTTTGACTTCCTATGGCCTGCAAGATGTAACACTTTTCAGCTCCAGCACCACATCTGCCTGTAAGATGCCATGCTCCCCACCCTGATGATAATGGGCTGAACCTCTAAACTGTAAACCTCTAAACATTGAGCCACCTCAATGTTTTCTTTATATATAAGAGTTGCCATGGTCATAGTGTCTCTTCACAACAATAAGTACCCCCAACTAAGACAGCAAGGTAGGATAAAGGTCATTCAAGATTGTAAAGTTGGCCCTGAAATGTCAATAGTCCACAGGCTTTACTGTCATTGGCACTCCAATCAGTCTCTGTGTGCGCTTTCCAGGAATCTTCTTTCACAGGACAAAAGACTGCAGGAGGGACAGAGTCTGGGCTGAAACTGAGAGACAGTCTGAGGCCACACAGAACTCAGATAAGAATGACAGTCAGTGGTTTTTAGCAGAAGGGAAAAGTGCTGAAGGAGCTTTGAGTGCCACATAGGAAGAAACCTGGTCAACAATGGTCAAAAGTGGAGATTTGGGTGCCAGGAAGATGGCTCAGTGGATAAAATATTTACCTCACAAGTACAAACCAAGGAAGAAGTCGTGCATACATGGCAGCCTGCTTGTAATCCCAGCACAGGGGGAGCAATGACGCTGCCTCAGTTTAAAAAAAAAAAAAATGTTTGGTGATCAAGGTGACTCACTGTCAGCCTCTGGCTCCACACACAGGAAGTGAACCCTAGAGTTGCAGAGAGTTCTGAGAAATCCCATTCTGGGAAAAGGTTCTTTCTCCTCTGAGCAGTAGCTGACTTAACTTCCTCCCAGGAGAGGTGTAGGCCAGAGGTTTGAGTGACAGATGTTTCTTCCTCTTCCTCAGTCTGAATGAGGTGGTGGCAGCTTTGCTGATGTCCAATGGTGGGGGATAGGAGTGAGAGGGAAAGTTTCCTTCAGGCTTTAAGACAAACTTGCCAGATGGTACAAAAAGCTCCACCCTGGGGAACAGCCAAACCATTTCAGGGCCTGTCTTAGGCACCTGACCCTCTAGGACTTGGAAGGAGACAGGGGAGTGTGTGTGCGTGCGTGCGTGTGTTGAGGGGGAGCTCAGTCACCCTGGGAGAAATCAGGGGCTGTTCTGTGTAGACCAGTGATTGGAAAGGTGACCAGCATCTGGGAAATGTTTATAAATTCCAACTCCTGGACCTTTGCTCATTTTGTCTGGCTGTCAAAATTGGGGGTTGAAAGAAGTCTTCATCTTATTTAAGCAGACCTTCCAGGATTCTGATTTTTAGTCAAGGGAAAAGCAGCTCCCAGGAGCTGGCCTTTGCTTTTCATGGCATTCTTGCCACTAGGATTAGCTCAAACCCTCAGTGTATCAGACTATGTTTTACCTCACAGCATGAGGGCAGCAGTTTAGATTAAACCCCAGAACCCACATAGAAAAAAATAAAGCAGCCAGCTTGTACCCCAGCACAGGGGATACAGGGGGAGAGAGAGGTTTGCCTTAGTTTTTCTTTTTTCTTCTTCTTCTTTCTTTCTTTCTTTTTTTAAAGAGCGTGATCCAGGAAGACACTCAGTGTCATCCGTTGACTTCTACACAGGGAAGAAAAATGGAGATGTGGACAGCCATAGGAATAATGAAGATTGCTTGAATCTTTTTGAAAATGCACACATTCAAGAATAAATAGCATGGTTGCCTTGTTTAAAGCTTGGACAAATTTTATTTAATGTTATCTTCAACAGAATCACTAGGGTTCTGCTGTTATGGGTACAATGAGCACCCCCAAGTATGAGGAGATAAGATGGAAAGCTCTCAATCTTGGGGACCTCTTTTCTTCTGAAACAGCAGCCAGCATTCCATGGTGATTGTAGGATTCTTCCCTCATCTCTCTGATCTTTTCTCCTTGTAGCCAACAGAAGCAATGTTTGCCACTTTCCTTTACAAAATCCGCCACACTGACACCCGCCCTCCCCAGCAGCCAACCTTTCCTGGAATTCAAGGAGACTTCCCAGGCCAACCTGCCAGAAAGGAGTTTTGTGGGGTTTTCTAATTGTCAGGCAAAGGAGATAGCTTACGTAATGTGGATTGTGGCACAGGGTTTGATTATCAGCTTTCTAATTTTTAGATCCTAGTTGTCCCTGGGCCCCCTTTTCTATAAAACAAACAAACAAAAAATGCTACTAGAATTTATCCCCAGTAATTCAACCTCTTTTCTCATCTTTTCACATTTTAAATAATTCAGTTTGAAGTTCTATACCTTCTGAGGAAAATAGGATGCTCTGAAAAACATACTAGCTCTGTGTCCTCCCCCATCCCCCGACCTGTCTATCCATGCATCTGTCTGTCTGCCAGGTATGCTCCTTGTGCTCAGAGGGCCTGTTACTTCCTGATCACTCAGGTGACTTGGCAGAGTCCCTCCCTTCATGGCCAGGCAACCTTTATGTAACACCCCTGGCCATGGTGAGGGTGAGGGCGTGTCCTCCTTCCTAAGGGGTCTGAAATCCTCTTCACCTCTCTGAGTGTCTGAACAGGGTCCTATGGAGTGGGAGTGATTCGAGGGGACCCGATTCCAGAAGTACATTGGCTGTGTCAGTCTGGCCTGTAAGCCAGAACAGATCACTATCTTTGGACCCAGAGCTCAGCGTTTCAATATTTTACCAATTGCAAGGGACTAAAGGAGACTCAAACAGCACACTACCATCTTCTGGTCTCTGAGGACATCTTACCTTTTTTTTTCTCACAGGGAGATGCACTATCTAACAAGCCTGGGCCTACCTTCTAGCTGCACTGAAAAGGCAGCAGGCTCCCGGTTAGTAGACAGTCTCAGGTCTGCTCCCACCTGCAGGGAACCTGGTGTTCTCACTGTTTGTAAAGTGAAAAACACTGTCAATGCCTGGCTCACTCAATCTGCAAAACCTTGTCCTACCTTTTTTTCCACCCAGGACTGAGGATTGAACTCATGCTCAGTAGCTGTGCCTCTGAGCTAAAACCTAGCCCTAGTAACTTTTTCTTAATGACTGCTACTCCTAGAGCATCGTTTTAAAGGAGTCTTCAGAAGAGTGTGAACCATTGTAAAGCTGAGCATGGTGGGCAGTACTGGGGAGGATTATACGAGTCACAAGGCTCCTTAACTGTCTTGACTTGCTTGCTTCTGCAGGTTCCTCGGGTCTTTATTGGTAAAGACTGCATAGGTGGATGCAATGATCTAATCACCATGCAGCAGAATGGGAAGCTGATGACCCGCCTGAAGCAGATCGGAGCTCTGCAGTAATGGAAGGGAGGCAGGTGAGTGTTGGCCAGGGCACCAGGAGACAGTGGCATTCTGCTGCCTTTTCTATTATGCTGTAGGAGGACATTCTGGGTTGGGTTGATTCGAGGAATTGAAACAACACTTATTGATGAATTTTACAGAGGACTGAATTGTACCAAGGAGAGAAAGCCTTCCAATGTACCTTTGTCTTAACAAATGTACTAGACAAAGTACTAAACATAAATACACAAAAAGATAACAGAACTTCCAGTCCTTGGAGATAGGCAGATCACAAACAACTAAATCATTACTGACAGTAGAGGAGGGTCTTTCTCAGCAGGGCTGCCCGACAAGGACACAACCAGCTAAAGATGAAAGAGGGAGGTTTGGGAAGCAAGGAAGGCACTTCCAAGGGAAAGTAGAAACAGGATTTAAAAAGGGACAGCAGGGAGGAAGTAAGAAATGTAGACAGGGCCACAGCACCGAGGCCATGAGGAGGGATGAGAGTTAATTGCAAGGTGAAATGAAGGTGCTTTGTTTTTCTTGTGTTTATATATGATCTGTATCTAATTGACTTTTCAAATGCCAAATTGGAAACCTCAGGGAGATCTTTGGCCCAGTGGAAAACTACAGCGGGATCACCCGTTTAGAAAAGACCAGTGATGCTGAGAAGATCGAGGGCCCCTCTTGGGGTTCTTATACTTACTGATAAGAGAATTTCAAAAGAAAACCTTCAGGGTGGGCAAGTTGTAAATCTTGGGCGTTTCCCAGAAGAGGAACATGGAAATAAAGAAAAAAGCCATGCCCTTTGAACTAAGCCAACATGGGAGTCAGGAATAAGAAAGTGAGAGTATAAACCTAACTGTGAGGGAAAGTGTACTTAGAACTCTGAGCTCTCCTGGGTTATTCAGAAACACAGGCAGGCTGTGGAATTGCATGTTTGCAACAGACTGCATCCATAACAAAGGAAAAGAACATCTCATTAAAGGGATAATTATCCCCCCTGTTTCCTTAGCTTGGCTTGAGGTAGGCCTGCTTCTTGATGGGTAGTGTTTGTTTGGACAGGTCATGGGCCAGACCAATTGGATCAGCTCCTAAGGGAGGAGACAATGGTGTGTCTCCACTGAGAGTTAGACTCCACTCTTGGTTAGGAGGCAATAGTTTTCCGTTAATGGACTTTCAGTGCTATGACACCAGGATGCCTAGGATCTGATGAGTAAGCCTGTCTGTGTCCTCCAGCACTGAGAGTTAGCATGCTTCCAGGGATGCATACACAGAAGACTCAAGTGTCTCTTTTATGGAAGAAGAAAGTAATCTTTTGTTTTGTTTCTTGAAATAGGGTCTCTGTGTAGCCCTGGTTGTCCTGGAACTTACTCACTCTGCAGACCTGGCTGGCCTCGTACTCACAGAGATCCGTCTGCCTCTGCCTCCCAGTGAAAGTAATGGTTCTTTAACATAGAAGTTCTTTGAGAGGCTGCATGCCTCACAGATTAACAGTTTATCCTTTTGGCAGTTCATATATGTTTGTGGTGGTCACTCGTGATAATAACAGAAGGAGGTCTGAAAAAGAAGACAGCTGAGTCTCTAGGCCTAAAATAGTCAATATACATCTTTGGAATCCTTATTTGCAATATCACAGCTAGTGAGCATTGTCTGCTCAGGGAAACTTTCTATGTTCACACTGAGTTCTAAACCACTAAAAGCCCAGTTAGTGGTACCCAGTGGCTTCTAATCTAGAACACGTTTAGCAGTTCAGGCTGAGGTTAAGAATGAAACAAAGAAAACACCATTTCTGCAGCTCCCTGTGCTGTGTGTGTGTGTGAGAGAGAGACTCTTCACAATGGTATCAGCATTATTTCCCCATCCTATGCTGTCCCTCTTTTCCTGGCAACTCTTGCCAAGACCACCTGTAACAGATGTCTCTAAATGATTAGAGTGTTCTGGTGTGGGAGGTTGAGTTATTTATGATGTGAAGTTTAGCTCTTTGTCTCTTTCCCCACCCAGCAGACCCTATGCTGACAGCATCTGTCCAGCCATGCTGACACCAATGCCTGAGAGCTGACCTGTATCACAAAGATGTCAGAATTTCCTGGTGACTGGGATTTTGAACAAAAACAGCTTTGACTTCTTTTCGTCAGTGCTAAAAACTGTTGCAATTTGCTCTTACCCATGCAGCCAAGAAGCTTAACAGACCATACTAGCTAGATTATGTATTCATCATGTGCCACCATGTCTCTACCTCTAAGCTTATACTTCTCAATGAAGTTTGTCTAAGTCTCCAGCAAATCTGTTGCCGGCTCTCTAATAGTGCTGGTCAGCTGAAATAATTTTGTAGAACTCAGCTTTATAAAGTGTTATTAAATGGATATTGTGAACTTGTTTTTTAAGTCACACACACACACACACACACACACACACACACACACACACGCATCACCCCCACACCCATTCCACATCAGTCGTTACTGCTCTGAGTCAGTGTACTCAATCTCGCCCTCTCCCAGAACTCACAGAGTGTCTACATTTGTTTGAGGATGCTCTTTGAGAAATCAGATGAAGAAACTGTGCACAACTGGTCCTCACTGAGGCCACAGAGACAGCACAGCAGATGGCACATTCAGCACGGTCTGTAAAGATGATTTGCCCAGCAAATCCCAAGCAGCTGTGTGTTGATCTGAGTTAGACTGCCAGCAAAATTAAATATGAGATATAAAATCCTAAAACCCTGCTTCCAAGAATGTCTGTGAAAGAAATCAAGTTTTCAAAACTGCCCTAAATAATTCCTTCCATCCACACTGTGAGTTTTATTTTGATGTCTTGCATTGTCATGGAACTGCAGGTCCCTTCTCTATCTTCTCACTAGAAGACCTCATTCCTAATAAAGATGTACCTGGAAATGACTAATGATTTTTGTCTGGTTGTGTTCTATGTTCTCAAAACCGAAAGGGACAGTATTCTTGCAGTGTTAGGGCTGGTGGGACAGCCCAGTGGGTCAAGGCATGTGCCCCTAACCTTGGTAACCTGAGTTCTAGCCCCAAGGTCCATGTGGTGGAAGGAGAGAACTGACTCTGAAAGTTTCCCTTTAACTTCCACACTCACAGTGTGGCACAGATGATCATATATACACACAACTTTTTAAAAAAAGATTTATTTTTAATTGTGTGTAGTTGCGTATGCCTACATGTGGTTATGTGCATATGAGTGCACATGAAGGCCAGAGGTGTCCGATCACCCAGAGCTGGAGTTACAGGTAGTTGTTAACTGTGACACAGGGCTGGAACTGGGATCTGGTCCTCTGCAAGAGCAGTAGGCACTCTTACCCATTGAGCCATTTCTCTAGCCCATGGTTTTTTAATTTTTTTTATTGAAATGAGACAAATGTAAATGTAATGCCAACTGTAGCCAGCTGGATATTGCTTAGGATCCAGTAATTACTTCCATTCATATTTTATACCTGGTACCATGCTGGGATTGGCCCTTTCCCCTTGTAGGCCCTAGCCCCCAACTTTACCCAATATGGCTAGTTGTCTGGCCATCCACACTGGACACTGGAAATTCCTGGGGAGACAGAAGCAAAGGACTCTGATGGAATCTGTAGCCACCAGGGCTATCTTTAGCTTCTAAGAGGGACACTTTATCGTATGTGATAGCAACAGTGTGTAAAGCCCACTGCAGGAGAGAGATCATCTTGATTAACCTCACAATGCTGGTCAAAGTGGAAACAGAGAAAGTCACAGAAGGGTGAAGAAATGTGTGTGTCTTCAGCTACTTCCAGAAGCCCTCCCCAAACTGGCTTATGTATGGCATCAACAGCAGAGAATGAAACCACATGATAAAGTATCATGCTCTTGTGCACACAATTATCTGTTCAAAATCTTGAATCTCTGAAAGTCTCAGGGTGCTTGGTACCTGGTGGCCTTAGCTCAGCTGAACACAGCAACACATTCAGTACCTGCAGAGACGGGTACTCCCTCCATCTTAGGATCGCAACTAAAAGCAGCTGGCCATGGTGGTTTCAGCTTCCTGCTCATACAGCCCAGCATCCAGCAAATGGCTGCAGAGTGAGGTTAACTCTGACTGGGGTCAATGCTGACAAATCTTGGGCAGTGTTTCTGGAACATTTTGAGGTGGATGTGGAATCTCCTCAGTGGCTGAGATGGGATGACTAAAGAGTCTGCATGTGATGATACTGAACACAGACCCAGCTCTCCCATCTTAGCTGCTCACTAAATGCCAAGCACATGCCAAGGTCCCCTACCCCCAAGGTCTCATTCTGTAGTCCAGTTGACCTCAAACTCAGTGATCTTGCCTCAGCCTAAGAACTTAAATTAAGACACTAGCCACCACCCCTGTCTTTCATTCCAAGTTTTATGTAGGTTTTCACTCATATGACCTCACTGCAATCCTGTAGGATAATTGTTAGTAAGTACATCATACCCATTTTGAAGATGGGCCACACTGAGGCACAGAGAGGTTAAATGTTGAAGGTGCATCAACAGAGCCAACTCCCAAGAGGCTTCTAGGAGTAGGCAAACATAATTGCTCTGCCTTCCATTCAATCTTTTCCATAGAATAGATCCATGTCTTTTGGCCCAAAAGGCCAATTGACAGACCTTCCTGAGCCTGCAGTAGATGAGAATTAACATAGAAACTAACAACTGGACAATGTGCACAAAGTGAGAGACTTTGGTGTACCCACTACTAAATGGGATGTCTTCATCAAACATCAAGGCTCAGGGATCTATGCAGAAGAGGAAGCAGAAAAATTGTAGAAGGTAGAGGTGGTGGATGACTCCAAAGAAACAGTGTCTTCCAGATACACTAGGATGGATGCATGTTTGAACTCACAGAGACTGGCAGCAAGCACAAGGCCTACACAGGTTCAACACTGATGCGGTCCCAGCACTGAGTGGGGGAAGTGGATACAGGGCCTACCCCCTACAGAGAAGCTGTTTGCAATAAATAGCTGCTAACAAAGGGAAGATGTTTTTGTTTTGTTTTTTCCAATGGAGTATCACTGGGTATAACAACTATACTGTAGGATAGGTCCCATACCCAAGAGTAGTTGACCAAAACAAAATAAACTTCCATGTTTGTTTATTTTTTTTTCCATTAGTTTTGTTTGTGGGCTTTTTGTTCCTCTTTGTTTTGACATTTTTTTGTGTGTGTCACTGGTTTTCATTTGCTTTGGTTTTTGTTTTAGGTGGGTCATGTTTTCTTAATCAAAAAGGAGAGAGAACTAAGGCAAATTGAGTAGGTAGGGACATGGGAAAGATCTGGAAGTAGTTTCAGGAGAGGAAAACATGATCAAAGTACTTTATGGGAAAAATGTGTTTATTAGAATGTGTATGGGTGTTTTGCCTACATGGATGTGTAAATGCACACATATGCACCACACGTGTACAGTGCCTGTGGAGGTCAGGGGAGGGCATCAGGGCACCAGGTCCCCTGGGAATGGAGTTACAGATGGCTGTTAGCCACCTTATTAATACTAAGAAATTGAACCCCAGTCCTCTGGAAGAGTAGCCAGTGCTCTTAACTGCTGAGTCATCTCTCCAGTCGTTCCCCCCCCCCCCGCCATTTTAAAATTTATTATTAATTTTATAACTCTTTCCATCATGCATTTCCTTCATGGTATGTGTGCCATGAGCAGACCTAAAGAGGATGTCAGGTCCCCTGGTACTGGAGTTACAGATGGCTGTGAGCTCCCATGTGGATGCTGGGAACTCAACCTGGGTCCTCCGCAAGAGCAGTAAGTGCTCTGAACTGTTGAGTCATTTCTCTCGTCTAGGGATGATTTTTGACTTTGGAGTCAGTTTTGCAAGCAAAGGCAGAGTATATCCCAGTTATATGCCCAGTCCTTACCATCTTCCTTCCCTTGCAGACAGTGGGGGCAGCACCCTTACTTCATGAAGGAGGTCAACCACTTCAGGGTTAGTGGGATGACTGTGCACTGCTCTTAGGATGTTATGGAGGTGGTTTCTGGGTTTGTAGTGACACATAGGCTTTAGTATTAAAACCAAATTTTTTCCCAGTTCTATCATGAGGGTGGGTATGCAACCACCAAAACCAGCAGAGTAATGATCTGCATGAGGTAGAAAGAAGTCAGGTTCAACACAACTCAGTAGCCAGTGTTGACTCAAACTTTTAGGGTCTAATGGTAGGCAATTTATTTTAGGCATATTTAAGTACAGCACAATTTGGAATAAAGTTTTCTGCTGTCAATTAACTCATTCCCATGCATACAATAAAGCTTAAGTCATAACTACATAAAATTCCTTTTAAAGTTTATGTGACCTCTTCCATAAATATTGGTTTTATAGATTGACTATATTTGATGTCTTAAGAGTCTGTGGAAGAATCTGGTGTGGTCTTGGTTATACAGATATCTCAAAGGTCACCAGGCTATAATCTACCTCCACTCCTGTTTCTAAGGGGCTGAGGGATCCAGATATAGCCTGGCCATACATATAATGCAGAGGTCACCAGGCTATTAACCACACCCATCCCTAGCCCTCTGGATGGAAACAGGCTATGCATCACTTTCTTTGAAGAGACACCATGTGTATTTAACACTTCTGGTTTTCCTAGTGCTTAACTGTGAGCACCGGGACCTCATGTCTACAGTCATTTATTAACACTATGTTACAGAATGGTGATACCAATTGTTCCTGGCTCATGAGACTGTCAGAAATACATAATGATAGCAGTGGTACTGATGGCAGAAATACGGAGTACTAAGTCTATGCAGTGTCTAAGGCACTAAGTAAGAACTTAATAATCTTATTTAATTCTTCCAATGGTACTATGAGGTCAATATGTTTATTAGTTCATTTTACAAAAAAAAAAAGCAAAGTCAAGAGAAGTACCACGTCACCTCTCTGGGTTACATATTAAGGTAAGCTAGGATGGATATACCAGCCTGGTATGATTTCATCACTCACATGCCCAATCATCCTTCTGGCTAATGTAATTTCTTCTAAAGGAAATGATATTCAAAATGTCTGGCATTCAAGTTGAAGTAAAAAATAATACTGTGAGTTCCTCAGGCCTAACTAGCCCATAGAGTTCATGCAAATACCTCTTCCTGGATGCCACAGGTCCCTAAGTCTCCCTAGACTGTGTCTGGCATGTCTTTCATGGCACTACTTTCCACATGTGACTCTCACCAAAAGCCTTGCTTCTGAAGTCCATGAGGACATGACTTCCTAGCATCATTGATATCAAGTATTCCTAGTGCCTTGTCAGGGCTAAATTCCCTGGTCAGGTTCCCTGAGTGATAAGCAAAAGGACATAAGAGTCCTTAACTTGGAGACAAATAGCCTGGCTAGTTTTTCCAGCTAACTCTTGTGAAATATTTAACTATGTAAGGATGTGTTACATTTGTTTATGCTGTAGAATATTACTTTACTCTGTAAAGGTATGTTATACTTGTTTATGTTGCATTTGTTTAATGATGTAAGGATGTGTTATACAGCCAATGCTAGCCAGCCCCCTGCCAGACATAGAAACAGCAGGAGAGAGACAGAGAGAGAGAGAGAGAGAGAGAGAGAGAGAGAGAGA